ATATTATCAAAACCCGCCTAAATAATGTTTGCAAAAATGCATGGTTTAAAGAGATATATTATCAAAACCCGCCTAAATAATGTTTGCAAAAAGACATGATTTAAAGAGATATATTATCGAAACCTGCCTATATAATGCTTGCAAAAAGACATGGTTTAAAGAGATATATTATCAAAACCTGCCTAACTAATGTTTGCAAAAAGACATGATTTAAAGAGATATATTATCAAAACCTGCCTAACTAATGTTTGCAAAAAGACATGGTTTAAAGAGATATATTATCAAAACCTGCCTAAATAATGTTTGCAAAAAGGCATGGTTTAAAGAGATATATTATCAAAACCTGCCTAAATAATGTTTGCAAAAAGACAGGCATGGTTTAAAGAGATATATTATCAAAACCCGCCTAAATAATGTTTGCAAAAAGGCATGGTTTAAAGAGATATATTATCAAAACCTGCCTAAATAATGCTTGCAAAAAGACATGGTTTAAAGAGATATATTATCAAAACCCGCCTAAATAATGTTTGCAAAAAGGCATGGTTTAAAGAGATATATTATCAAAACCTGCCTAAATAATGTTTGCAAAAAGGCATGGTTTAAAGAGATATATTATCAAAACCTGCCTAAATAATGTTTGCAAAAAGGCATGGTTTAAAGAGATATATTATCAAAACCCGCCTAAATAATGTTTGCAGAGAGGCGTGGTTTAAAGAGATCTATTAGAGATTTGTTGAGCAATGAGTAAACTAAATTACGAACACAAATGATCAAATTTCCGATTCAAATCGGGGCTCTTATGAGGTTATTTAAGCAGTCTAGTTGAACCGACAAGGAAGAAAGGATTTGGTTTTCACAAGGTAGTTGTTGGCTGGGTGTTGAGAGCGGAAATTAGTACAAAGCAGAAGCAGATTGCCTATTCGGTGGTGAATAGGCGCGGGCTACTTCGAAATCTGGAAAAGAAAAACAAAAAGCCGTCGGTGATGCAAAAGGAAGTAACAGAAGAAAAAGAAGAAGCAGAAAGAAAATGAAAAAAGGCAAAGATGAGATTTTTTTCAAAATTTAGAGAGATATTCGATTAACTTTCTATAGTTGTTTGTGAAAGTTTGACAGAAAATTCGAGGCAGCAAGCCTGATTTTGGACTTATTAATGAAAATACGAGTTTTATCTCATCTTAACTTGTAAAGCTGAACTGTTGTCTTAAAATAGATACCTAGCTACCCCTGTGAATTTATCACACTTCTCGATGTTACAGTTTTTTGATACATGTATGTACTAGTGAGCTAGCCAAAATGAGCTGACTCATTCTATAGTTCACCAATAGAAGTGTTAACCAATCAGAAAGATCAAAATATTCAATCCGACGGGTATAAAGGCAGACATTTTGTTTTTTTCTCCCAAAATATCGCCACTGCCAACTTGATATCGAAGACTTAAAGAATTACTTAACAGCGGCTACTTTCTCTGAATCTTCACCGCCGACCTCTGATATTGAACAGATTACGGACTTCACTGGATTCCATGTTCAGAGACTACGGCAAACATGGTCAATACTCAGCTCCTTTCTAAAAATTACAATTAGAATTTGCTATGTTGCCTAATTATGTGAAAACATTTGTAGGAAACAGTTTTGTAAATTTAATATTCTGTGCTATTATAATTGTTAATGTCATTTATTATATGTAAATTTCTTCCAATTTTCGACTTCTGATTGGACGTTTTCTACTTTCGTCCTTTTCCGCCCCAAATCATTTAAAATCTTTTAGTCGCCTTCATAAATGTATTTCTTTGGGCATTTCGACGTGGCGTGATGATTAGCAAGCTTGTCTCACTAGGTGCCCTATACTTTCGGCCTTATGTCACATCTAAGCTACACTTAGAAAATCATAATACTTCCTCTAGCACAGGTCAGGGGATATCACAGTTATGATTAGCTTAGACGAGCTCTGACCAGCTCAGACAAGCTAAGCATGCCGTATGGAAACACTTAGGGACCCACGTTAAAAACCGACCATCTGTCACAACTATTGATAGTCCAGTAGAAATCTGGACAATGAGAGAGGGTCAAATAAATCGCAATAAATGTATTGTTTACAATATTAATGTATAGTTTATTAATGTATAGTTTATAATTGTCATTTGAAGTATCTGTCTATATTTCTGAGATAAGATATTATGTACATTATTTACATTATTCGGACTATTGTCCTCATCTTTGTCGCCATATTTATTACAACGTTTCGGCCATTGTATGCCCCGGCCTTCTTCAGGTGGTTAGAATATCGAACTGAACCTCAAGGACACATGGCACAGTGGATAAAGGCGTTGGTTAGGTCCAGTGACATGACCCAAAGAGTTTGAGTTCAATACCCGGTTAAGGCAGTGGAGAACTTTCTGAAGAGAATTAACAGGAGATAACTGATAACTGACATCCAATAAACATGACACATGGAACTAGAACATTCAGTGAGCGAACTAAAGGGTTCAGTTCGACATTCCAACCACCTGAAGAAAGCCGGAGCGTACAACGACCGAAACGTTGTAATAAATATGGCTACAAAGATGAGGACAACAGTCCGAATAATGTAAATAAGGCCATTTGAAGGTATAAATACGAAATTTTACTGAATGGGAATAAAAAGAAATCTTCTTTGTTTTATATCTTTATTTATCTTTGCATACTTCTCCATCTCTATTACATCCTGTTCATATCTATCTATCGCTATCAGTTTTATATATCTATTGCAGTCGTATTTATCTATCAGTTCATATCGAATTTTGTTCTTATCTATCTTTCTAGCTAGCTGGCTCTCTCAACCTGTCGATTTATCTTCCTAAAGAGATATCTGTCTGTCTTTACACTCATATCTGCCTATACTGACAGTCTGAGCTACTGATGCGTCTGTCAATGATTACATATTATTATTCTTAATGTATAATGTACTGGCGATATCTCTGTCTCTTGTCAAGTGCTTCAGAACAATCACTGGTTATATTTCCCTTCATATTTTTGTACATATGCTTATGTATGTCCCTGACGAGACAAGAACCCCGCTAGAAAGAATCCTCAAGCATTCAGTAGATGTTAAAATTACTAGTCCAGTAGAAATCTGCACAGTGGGAAAGCAACACAGACATTTTAAATAGTAAAGATACGGAAAATCAATGAATGGCTGGCATCAACTATCCATGTTTTGGGTAAATCGAGCCCGCTGCGACAAATATGCAGTTTAACATTTACCAGATATCCGATACCAACTACCAAATCGGCGAGCTTTCTTGTTATTTGATAACGCCAAAAAAAAACTGATTTCTATTGCTCATGTAAAATTACAAAAAAAAAAATAAAATTTTCGCGCGATAGATAAAAATTCTTAATGTATATTTTTCCTCGTTTACAGAATATTTTATCTCTGCCTAGATACAGTTCCAGGCATGTATTGTCCTGAATTAAATGAATTTAACATTTCGATTCTAATGAATAAAGTTCGTCGCATAACTAAAGCGGAAGTCGGACAAGAACAGTCTATCTTTGTTCAAGACACTGGAACAAGAAATGCCATTTTTATGATCTGAATACTATCAAAGTGATTGCGATAAATACAGAAAGAATTTTAAAATACCGCACAACTACCTACTTGAAAAGGTATAATGGGAAGTCTGTTCAAGAAATACTTAACCTCTACTGGGAAACAAACTGCCTGCATGCGGACAGAGAGCGGATTCAGTGAGTTCATTAAGAAAGCAACAATAAGGCAATGGCGAGATTCCCTATCGGAATTATTCATCGTATATATCGAAAGACTCCGAAGTAAACTAGAAGATCTAGTTGAAGTAACTTTCAGCAGGGATAATCTTAACAACATCAGATACGCAGAGTACACAGTGTTGATGTCAAACTCATAAAGGAATTTGAAAGAACAATTAGACAAGGTAGTAATGGCACGCAAGAAGAAAGGATTAAATATTATGTAATGAAGAAAGTCCATGGTCGTCAACAAAAGATACCACAGGGTGACACAAAAAAATGGGAATTTTTGAAGTGCGTATTGCCAGACCTGAGCAAGTGGCAACACTGCGAGACAGTGACCTTGAGCAAGTAAACATTTCGCCATTTAGAATTCAAGATGAGCTTCACGGTATCCCAGCTGAGAGTTTGCAGCAGTCAATAAGGAATCTCAACAGCAGATTTCAAGAATGCATTCGTACAGGAGAACGCCATCTACAGGACGTATTTTTTTTTAAATGAAAATTCATCATTGTTTCTTAAATGGCATCTTTTAAGGTTTCAATTACTATGAATAAAATATTTTCTTCCATCACTCTTGGTTTTATTGGATTGTTAAAAAGTTCCCGTTTTTTTGGGTCACCCTATATCATAGTCTTGAGCTACATATTGGGAATGTCAAAATCAATCAAATACTGAATTCAGTTTTCGGTAGTATATTGTAAAATAACAGAATAATATTACAGAGAAATCCTAGGAAGCTTGCGCGATGTGTCTTTCTGAAACTAAAACTCGTTTTTTAAAGTCTGGAGACTGACTCAATAGTAATGGGCGGATCGTATATTTTTCGTTCGAATCTTAAAATGTCTGGAAAAGCTTGATTTCTTTCTGAAAAAAAAAAGTTTTGACATTTAACACCAGTCGAATCCAATCTTGCCGACAGTTTTAAATTCATCATCAAAAGGCACGTGCTGAAAAATGTTCTTTGAACTTATCCAAATTAGAGTTCTCGGGAGACTTTTCTGTGGGTAATTTGTGAAGTTTTACACGAATTCTACATTGAACAAAAAATGTTCAATTTAAAACTAGCTTCGATTTTTTTTAATTAAAAAATATTGATTGTTCAATGATTTGTTTCCTCTTGCAAAAATAAAACAAAATATCTCATTCATGGTTAATTTACTGCGTTATGTTGGTGTGACCCTAGCGATGTGCGATAGGTACTTAACTAGTTTCGTATAGCACACACAACCCTACTACTATGGACATTTGTTAGACTGAACTGACCTTAATAGATTCCCACAATGCACAACAGTAAGATAGATAGATAGATAGATAGATAGATAGATAGATAGATAGATAGATAGATCTGTTCTGAGCACGTTTATGCGGGTTCTAAGGGAATATTTTTAGCCGAGCCTACAGGCTTTGTGCCACATATATCCCTGGGGGGAATATTAAATATGATAGATAGATAGATAGATAGATAGATAGATAGATAGATAGATAGATAGATAGATAGATAGATAGATAAGGACAAGGACAAGTGCAGGATCGGAGATACAGCGTTTATAGACGCAGACAGATGGACAGGGGAAACAGCACGACATAGATGCTGTGAAATTCAATGTTTAAATAAAAGCTTGTAAAATGTCTAAGCGTTTTCATTTATATTATTGTATTATCAACACTAAGCTGTCTGAAATTGTAGTAAATAAATAAATTCAACGTGTAATATATATATATGTGTGTGTGTGTGTGTGTAGGGTGGCCTGACGATTTCATCTAACATGAAACAGCCTGTCGCCTCTAAGTGTTGACGTCTACATTCACTTTTATATTTACACACGCTCTATCTCTGATATTGAGCTCTTTATCACATAAATATAGCACATCTTAAGACTATATTTCTTCATCTTTATATATATATATATATATATATATATATATTATATGTATATATTATTTATTTATTTTAGTATATTAGAACATGTTAAAAATTGGTGCATACTGGCAATTATGTTTAACACTCTAAATGTGTCTCCTAGGGCGATATTAAACTAATATCCTGTGGATTTTTAACATGCTTTTATATCCTAAAATAAATTTAGCTCTACTCTGTACTGATCCCTCTTTTAAATTAAATGGTACGTACAGTGGAATTATACTCCATTTGTTCTCATTTTACCTATATATATATATATATATATATATATATATATATATATATATATATATATATATATATATGTATAAAGTAATTCATCGAGTCTAGAAGAAACCGCTCCATCCAGATATATCCAAGGATATAGGAATGATAGAAATTAAGGAGAATTTGAGATAATTAAGTAATTCAGCGAGTCTGTCTGTCGAGGCTTGATGATAGTAGTCGTGGCTCTCGGGGGGCACAGTCCTATGGGTAAAGGAAACTTGGATGAGTTCCACCACGGAATGTGTGAACGAGCGTCGCAATGTCGAGTCTTCTTGGAGGCCCGTTAGTACAGTTGGTATGACGTTTGTATGTCATTGTAGCTGCCCGGTTTTCAATTCTCGGTTGTGGAAGCGAACTGCTGATGATTCCCAAATATGGAACGAGTCGGCCGTCCAGTGGTTTCTTCTATATATTTATATATGTCTGCGTAAATAAAATATATTTTTATTCATGTAGACAAAACAATTTACTCACGACAAAGATGCAACTTCGTTTCAGTTTCACCCTTGACTGGTGACAACTAAAATTGTTATGAAAAATCTTGTTTGTAGGCACGCCGCACGTGAAACATCACTTCCTTGTTTCTATTTGTTTAAAAAAAACGTAGTAGGTACATTTTAAGAGAGGATAAAGAAAAAATAGGAGATTCAAAATGGTGACAGAGTGAAACAATATTATTTCACTTTGTCACCATTTTGACTCTCCTATTTTTTTGCCTTTATATAATAAATATTAGGGTGTAAAGACAGAAAATAGGATATATGTAGGGGGATTATAAAATGAATTATAAAAGCTAGTTTAAAGTTTAAAAGAGAAACACCGAGTAACATGCTGAGTGATAATAAACGTTAAAATGATTAAAGCGTTGTGATCAATATAGAACCTAAAATATGGAAAGTGAAAGCGAAATATGAATAATATATTTATACAGAATGCAAACATTTTAAGAGAAAAATTATCCGATGATTATAACCTAGCCTCAATTCATTTCGTTTATTAAGTAGATTTAGTTCATTAATATTTTTGAGGATCAATCTTTTTTTTCCAGCAAACACAGGTTGCATCGTTCAGCGCGGCCGGAAAAGGATATAATTTTGGCGACGAAATCCCGCTTTACTACAGATCTGTGTGTGCGCCCGCGTGTGTGTGTGTGTGTTTGCGTGTGTGTGTGTGTGTGTGTGTGTGTGTGTGTTTGTGTGTTTGTGTCTCGTCGAAGCACACAATGTTTGAAAAAAAATGGAAATATATACTAGTCCCCCCCTTTTTATATTTCAAAATAACTATTTAAGATTAGAAAATTGATTTTACCCATTTATTATTATTATTATTATAACTTAGCTAAAGTACGGATGCTTATTGGTCTGATTATTTTTGTCCCAGTTTTAGTTTAATCCCCCCACCCATCTCTCATTAGTTATGTGAAAGAGATTTCAATTCTGGTGGCTAACCGTGATGCTAATTATGCTTCGGCTTTGAATTTGTGAAGGTTTTATTTATTATTCTGTCTCACGCATTTTCGACTAGATCACTTTTATTCTTACTGGCGACTATGTTCCCCATAGTCTATGATTATAGAAGCAAGCGCAGTACGTAATCTGTTCAATGAAACAACGTTAAAGATTAAAACTCACGAATCAGACATTCTACTGAATCTGACTATATCGCCAATACCACCAGCAGCAGCTATTCGGGAATTCTCCAGTCTTCGATATCAAGGGCTGGCTGTCAGTGGATATTCGGGAAAAACATGGCTGCCTTTATACACGTCGCATTGAATATTTTGAGCCTTCTCATTGGTTAACCTTTCTATTGGTGAACTATAAAATGAGTCAGCTCATTTTGGCTGGCTCACTAGTACACCAGGTACCCAAAGCTTCCAACACTTACATGATTATTGTTAAGGGTTTATAACGCTTACAATGATCGTTCCTGGGTTTTTGTACATACAGATTTTCATTGTAAATAATTCATTGGGTAGATAAGTATTACTGTTCATTTTATCATAACCCCAACATGATTGAATATATCGAACAAGTTCGAACTACTCCAAAGATTAATCATTGCATTGCGGTGACTGTAGCACAAATGAGAAGTGTCGATTGATTGTTTTTTTTATGGTTTCAAAATCGAAGAGAAAATATCAAAAAGTTAATAATTATAATTAAAAAAAAACTTGTTAAGGCTTTAAGTAACCAGTATCTTCGGAAAATTCCTCAATGAAATGAATGAACTCTAACATTATATACAATGTGAAAAAATGTGGAAACGGCGAACAATCGCAATATCTTCCAATCAAAACTTCTACAGAAGAAATGAACTGGTCTCCAAAAATACCTTGAATCACATTAAAACTCTGACCACAGTAAACTTAAGATGCCACAGAAATATGACATATACAAATATACATTTAATCAATAAAAGATCGTCTCGAAAGGATAACGAACCTACTGATGAGGAAATTAAACCTTTGAAAATAGCTAACTTTCTTTATGAATTCAATGTTTGTCTATTTTATGGAGTCTGTAATCAGACATGCATCCGCTAAAAATGGGGTCTATCAAGCATTAATGTATCAAAGGTAGCCCTCAAGGCCCTCACCCATACAGAGGTATCTTAATTAGATCCATCGTCGTGGAAGTATTAATAAACATTATATTTACTAGGCTACCATCGTTTTAAGAAACAGTCTGCTTCTCGTTGTGGTAAGGGATACAATGATGATAAATATATCTTCAAAAATTGAAAGAAATTGCTTACCTCCCGAATACCCGCTTTGTCGACCTCAAAGGAACATGTGATCACGTCAATAGAGACTTCCTCTTCTCATCCATTAGAAATCTTCCAAGCTCCGAATCTACTGAATAAATCGATCTAATAGAGGAAAGTATCGTTCTACAGAACCGTAGATATCTGATGAGAAGTCTAATAAGGAAACATTGCCGAGACCTCATCAGGAGGACGACAATGAGGAAATGAGAACGCCAGTCTATTTAATCTCTTCCTAGACGATTTCCCGTCCATTTAAAACATAGATGCGATGACATGGGGCCGAACTTTTAAGCATTCCATACCACATCCCAAACGAATCTACCAATAGAAGGCTAATGTAGAGATGATGAGCGGGGACAATGCTGATTACATAGGTATTCATAGTTGGGATAAGAATGATCTTGAACAAAATATCAACATCCTCAATCAAGTGTATAAAGAAATAGGACTCAAGATAAACTTTATCAAAACAGAATCTATGATCTGAAATTGGAATGTAAGCAATGATGGCATCTACTCTGAATCTTAAACATTCGGTATGTTTAATTAGTAAATACGAATACATTAAGTAAAGGAGAAAGTAAAATTGAACATAGAATAGGCTACGCCAGTGGTAGTTTTGCACAATACCACAAATTGCTACAAAACTAAAACATTAACTTGAAAGCTCGAGTCGTGAACATTGACAGCCTTGTAAGATCGAGACTTTCATATGAATTTAATGGATGGTGCCAATCGCGTTCAGAAATATCTAAACTGTCAGATGAAAACGACCGCTATCTCCCATCAATTGTTAAAAAGGCTTTCAGCGAGTGGATTGTGTGAGTCTTGACAAAGACCATCCTTCTTTTAGCATAGGGGACTTACGCTACAGAACCACAAACAAAAAGCTGTACAAAATAACAGAAATCACATCACATGAAGACTTTCAAAAGCAGCAACAACTAAAATGGATAGTACATTTAACTCAAGCGGAAATAATAATATTCGATACTACATCAAATAATTTTTCACAAGGAAATCTCCAATATTAGAAAGAGAGATAACAACTAATCGACTGGAGAAACCTAATTTTCTCAAAAATTATTGCAAGAGAAATATTGTATGAATTTCAACGAAAGCAGTACTGGTTGTTCGGTCAATGAAAGCCAAATGTTTCCTCATAGGGAAACGGATAATAATTCCCAAACATATTTGGATTTTAATAATATATATATATATATATATATATATATATATATATATATATATATATATATATATTTGAGTGAATTTAGCATTAACATTTCTTTTTTTTGAATATAGCAATCATTTTCCTCATACAGATCATACTATTTGACACATAGCTGGGTGGAATGGATGGGTATTTGCGCGTAAGTACATATAAACCGATTTCTCATTCCGAACTGTTTTCTATTACTCCACTTGCACATTAAAAATGCGTTGTTTTGGTAAAAGGAAAATTATCGAATCGTTATTTTTGTGATTTAAACGAGAGAAATTAAACAATAGTGACTCGCCCACACTTTTCCCCATTTTAAGCCTTCTGCCATATTTGATGTATATATATATATATATATATAATCATCAATAAATATCGTTGAATTCATTGTACCGTTTCACCTAAACAACGA